GCTGTCTCATCAGGAGCATGCCCAGGCATTGTAGGGAGGTCATACAGGCACGTGGAGGCCACACACAATACTGAGCCTCATTTTGACTTGTTTTAAGGACATTACATCAAAGTTGGATCAGCCTCTATTGTGTTTTTCCACTTTAATTTTGTGTGTGACTCCAAATCCAGGCCTCCATTGGTTAATAAATTTGATTTCCATTGATGATTTTTGTGTGATTTTGTTGTCAGCACATTCAACTTTGTACAGAACAAAGTATTTAATGAGAATATTTCATTCATTCAGATAAAGGATGTGTTATTTGAGTGTTCCCTTTATTTTTTTGAGCAGTGTATATTGTACTATTTCAGAGAAATTATATTACCTCTGGATTTTTCTCAGCGTAATTCATTGGCATGAGCACATAGTCAAAGTAACTGTACAGTTATTCTCTTTGTTGTGGTTCTATACATTTGTAGAGTGCAGAGTTGTGAGGTGGATATTTCCTAAAATGGAATGCTGATTGATTTGTCATCTTAATGGGCCACTTTTCATTCACAGTCTCAAGCTTGTTACCACTCAACCATAAAAACAGGAAAGTGTGTGGATGTAAGTAGCTTTGTGGGAAATGTGTCAGTAGACAGCTAAATAAATGTGAGAACAAAGAGTGAGAAATGGAAAAAAGAAAAAAAAAACAAATGGCTTGTTGTGAGGCAAAAATGACAAATTGGCTTTTGGAAATGTGGTGAGATCATGACACCATAGCTATTAAATAAAAAAATTTAAAGATTTTTGCATTCTCACATAGAAAACAGAAAAGAAATTGACCAAAGTTAACTGCATTGACTTACAGTGCAGTTGCTCTTACAAATTTGCTTATGCAAATGTTTTATAAAGCTAGTAAGCCTTTTAAAAAGACTTTTTTGAAAGATGTCCATCCCATCCCAATACAGCTGCAATGAACAAAAGAATATTTGCAGAACTCCAAAGACAACTCTGCTTCATTCCCAAAGGTTTGGATGGTAAACCTTTTTCCACCTTGTGTTGTTGTAGTCAGGACAGAATATGCTGCACTCCACATTAACCTGTGCAACTGTTTGCCCTGTAGTGTAGGCTTTCAGAATCCCATGTAGCTGTTGGTCTAGGTCTTTAATGTCCTGTTGATATTGAACAGTCTTGTGACTGCACTGTTAACACATATCTTGGAACAGGGCTGCTGACTTATGAGTGGAGCAGGGGGTGAGATGAAAGTACTATAAAGTTCAGTTATACAGGCTTTTTCAAACATTATCTTAAAAACAGCTGTGTAAGCGGCATTTTCAGTGGTTTGAGGTTGACTTTCAGAGTGGCATGCGGCTCGGGTGGTTGCTGAGGCAAAAACTTGGGCTTGGGAGGAGTTCTGAGAGACCATGGAAAATGACTTCCGTACAGCTTTGAGGTGATTCTGGTCAACCATCTGGTGTCTCGGGGAAGAGGTACACCACCAACACGGTTTACAGTGGGGAGGGTGTGCTGTTGACCTCAACTGGGGACGTTGTGGGTCGGTGGGCGGAGTACTTCGAAGACCTCCTCAAATCTCACCGGCACATTACACCAAGCTCTCCAATCTCTGGTGCTGGGGTTGCCGAGGTGATTAAAAAGCTCCTCGGTGGTAAGGCCCCGGGGATGAATGAGATGGTGTAGGGTTGTGTTGGCTAAGGCGACTCTGCAGCATCGTGTGGACATCGGGGCAATTCCACTGGATTGGCAGACCAGGATGGTGGTCTGCCTATTCAAAAAGGGGGACCGGAGAGTGTGTTCCAACTATAGGGGAGTCACACTCTTAAGCCTCCCTGGTAAGGTCTATTCAGGGGTTCTGGAGAGGCAGGTCCGTCGCATAGTTGAACCTCGGATTCAAGAAGAGCAGTGTGGTTTTTCGTCCTGTCCGTGGAACACTGGACCAGCTTTACCCCCTTAGCAGGGTCCTGGAGGGTGCATGGGAATTCGCCCAACCAGTCTACATGTGCTTTGTGGACTTGGAGAAGGTGTTCGACAGTGTCCCTCGGGGAATCCTGTGGGGGTACCCCAGGAGTATGGGGTACCAGGCCCTTTGATACGTGCTGCTAGGTCCCTGTATGACCAGTGTCAGAGCTTGGTCCGCATTGCTGGCAGTAAGTCAAACTCGTTTAAAGTGAGGGTTGGAGTCCGCCAAGGTTGGCCTTTGTCAACGATTCTGTTCATAACTTTTATGGACAGAATTTCTAGGCACAGCCAAGGTGTTGAGGGGATCCGTTTTGGTGGCTTTAGGATTGCGTCTCGGCTTTTTGCAGATGATGTGGTCCTATTATATTCATCAGCTCGTGATCTACAGCTCTCACTGGAGCAGTTCGCAGCCGAGTCTGAAGCGGCCGGGATGGGAATCAGTGCCTCCACGTCCGAGACCATGGTCTTGAGGTGGAAAAGGGTAGAGAGCCTTCTCCGGGTCGGGGGGAGGTCCTGCCTCAAGTGGAGGAGGTCAAGTATCTTGGGGTCTTGTTCACGAATGAGGGAAAAATTGAGCAGGAGATCAATAGACGGATTGATGCTGCATCAGCAGTGATGCAGGTGCTGTACCAGTCTGTCGTGGTGAAGAGAGAGCTAAGTCAAAAAGCGAAGCGCTCAATTTACCGGTCAATCTATGTTCCTACCCTCATCTATGGTCATGAGCTTTGGGTCATGACCGAAAGAACGAGATCACGGATTGAAGTGGCCGAAATGAGTTTCCTACGCAGGGTGTCTGGGCTCTCCCTTAGAGATGCTCGGTCATCCGGGAGGTACTCAGAGTAGAGCCACTGCTTCTCCACGTCGAGAGGATTCAGTTGAGGTGGCTCGAGGATCTGGTTAGGATGCTTCCTGGACGCCTCCCTGGTGAGGTGTTTGGGGCATGAGGAAGACCCAGGACACGCTGAAGGGACTGTTTCTCGGCTGGCCTGGGAACGCCTTGGGACAAGCTGCCCCAAGTGGCTGGGGAGAGGGAAGTCTGGGTCTCTCTGCTTAGTCTGCTGCCCCCGCGACCCTACACCGGATAAGCGGAAGACAATGGATGAATGGATTGATGGATGGAGTAAACACATGACAGTGTTGACATCAACTTATAAAAAAACTCACTAAACAAAAAATAAAATACAAGTAAAACATTAATTTCCATCAAAACAAACAGCAGACAATGTAAAGACAGAGTCAACAGCATCCTCTGCAGTTCATGGCTTTCATGTATACTACCCAGTTATGTAACAGCGTTATCTAATTTCAGAAGATATAATAAATACATGATTGATTAAAACATGTTATAATAAGTTTTTTTCTTACAAGTTCTTTTTTAGAACTGTTGATTATATTAAAAAAAAATTTAAATCTTGATGCTTCAACATTTATATAAGAAACTAACTGCTTTGGTGTGGGACTGATGGTGTAGGGGTTAAGCACGCAACCCTATACAGAGGCTGTGGCCGTCCCAGGTTCGAGTCCTGGACTCAGTGACATTTGCCAAGTGTCTCCCCCACATTCTGGTCTGCCTACTGTCAAAAATTAAAGGCCGTTAGTGCTGAAGAAGCATCCTTTAAAAAAAGAAACTAACTGCTTTTGGTGCAAAGGACTGTTTTGTTCTGTTTATGAAAGGGCTTGGTAGCAGTACCTCCTACCTGAGGGTAACAGTTTAAAAGTGGTAAAGATTGGATGCTCCTGATCAGCGAGACAACTCTTTGTCTTATTAAGCGATCTCTTTCCATAGATGTGTTCTAAGTGGTTCAAACTAATGTGCAGCAGTTTACAGTAGCTACTTCCTCAGTGTCTTTTTTGTGATTCTGTTATGTCACCAAAGCAACGTGTAATACAAAAGTAAAAAATGTTGTCCAGAAAAGCCCTTTAAAACACTTACAGCAATTTACATTCAATGAAACCAGCTTTTTTGGGACTTCCATTTTGACAGGCGAGGCAATTGAAATCCAGGGTGTAGCATTTTCACTTGTTGCCACTAGTGTTGATGTCTTACCTGCTCCCTTACAAACAAATATGAATTTGTAGCACCTGGCTGCATCGGCTGTCAGTAAGCCGTAACAGGGAAATGGCTAAACCACATACACCTATAGCAGACATGTGGTTCAATAACGTTTATGGCATTTTTAAGATGGAAAGAACCACTTTTACCATATGACTACAAAGTGTTCTATTTTTGAAGAGATGGAAAGATGGATAGAAAATGTGTTACACTAGTCCGACCATCATTTGTGTATGTCAGGTTTTGGTTCCATTTCTATTTTTAATTTTATTTTTTCTTTAATATTATAAATGTGAACCTTAGTGTTCCTGTTCTGGAGTTTTGTTTTTAATTGTGTATTGCCCAAATTTTATCCTTTAAATGGTGTAGGGACAACCAATCATCCATAAATGTAATGTATGTAAAGTTATGTATGTAATGACGTGTAGTGATCTAGAGATTAAGGGATGAGAATGTTGAATTGTTATGTAAATAAACGTGTAAACCATTAAAAATTATAATAAAAAGACAATTGAAAAAACGAAAATGAAACCAGCCTTTGCTTTCCCTATTTTGTGTATGAGTTCAATGTACTTGTTCCACTTTAGTCTGCTATCTAGAACCACCCTGAGATTCTTGTACTCATTAACAGTCTGTGTGTTCCCTTCTAAAAGTTGTCAGACTCTGTGTTGTGACAATCTGATTTTGCCTGAAATCGATCGACATCTCTTTAGTCTTTGCAGTTTTTAAAAGCAGATGGGACTCCTCAACTGGTTTAAACATTTAAAACTGAACCACATTCCTGCTCACTATTCTGGAGAAGGCTGACCAGAGCTGTATCATCAGCAAAACTGACTGGGAACGTAACAGAATGTGAACCAGTACAGCAGTTCCCTACACAGAATGACTAACAAAGGAAATCACACACAACCTTGGGGACAGCTCACATTGTTGATTTTATCAGAAATGAAAGGGCCCACCTTCACTTGTTGAATTCTGTTAAGGACATTAATGCAACCAGAGGATCGGCCTCCATTAATTGCAAACGATTCATATATTCTCTTTTTCAGGATGTTTGGCTGGATTGTGTTAAATGCTGATGAAAAAAAGCAAAAGTAGCTCCTTTGTCTTCACACATCACTGTTTTTAAGCAAATTTCTAAATCATAACATCTATTCAGGAAGAACAACATTCAAGCATTATTTATGGAAAATACAGTAATTACAGACATGCACTCAGAGACATGTTTAACTCTATACTTTGAGAACTTTTCTTGCATTAAAAACCCAAAAATGAAGAAAAGGCTGAGATAGGGGTACTAGAACAATTGTACAAGTTGAATGCTACAAACAATACAGCTGTATTTTAGAAAACTCTGGCTTCCCCCTACAACCATGTCCACGGCTTTCCGTACCATGGGCATATTTACCTAGACTGTATCCCATCATGACTGTTAGGTTAGCTGGTTCCTCTAAATTGTCATTGCGTGTCTGAGTGTGTTCGTTCTGTGTTGCCTTGTGATGGACTGGTGAACTATGTAGGGTGTGCCCCACCTCTCGCCCATTGACTACTGGACATAGACAGCCCTGCTGGTTTTCAGATGAAAACATGATCATCTAGTAAGTGGAATTAGTGTGAGGGTTGGTGTGGGTTATGTGCATAGAAAACAGTCCATATGGAGAGTAACAGGGCTGCACAAAGATCATCTGAAAAAGGAGAATAAAGTGATTTCAAAGGTCAAGTTTATTGGTTTCATCAAAAGACAGTCAAAAGAGAAGGAAAAAGCTGGATAAAGTAAAAAAAAAACAAAAAACGTCAGAGGTAAGATGTCAAAATCTGCCTGTGTTTGGGGTTTTGAGTTTGAGTTCTGTTTACTTTCTCTGCCCTGCCATGTTGTTCACTTGCTTTATTTCAGTTCGTCCAGGTTTATTAGATTCATTCTGGTGTTTAGGTGTTTGTTACTTCCCTGGATTCCTATGTTAGATGTTTTATTTTGTTTAATCATGTAGGTCTGTTTTCTTCCTGTTTATGTTCTTTTCATTGTCTTATTTCTGGTCACTTAGATGTTTTCTGTTACCTTCCTAGACTGCCTGCTCATTAGTGTTAATTAGCCACACTCCTGTCCTGTCACATTCCTGTCTACCTACTGTCAATAAAACCTGGAAAAATAAAGGCCACTAGTGCTGCAAAAAAATCTTAAAAATAAGACTTCATGAATTTTAAATAAATACTTAAATTCACTATATTTTTTCAGTGGCCTTCACAATATAAACTTAAGAAAACATACTACACAAACTGTTTTGTTTTTGTAGTAACGCAAACCGTTGCTTTCTTATTGCACTGAATTGATGCTTATTATATTCCCTCCTCCAATAGTTGGCATCAAACAACCAGAAAGAAGTTGGGGCCTGTTCCCTAGCAACAGGAAGTGAGCTTACTGAAATGTATTCAACTGATCAAAAAGGTTGGTTATTTTTTCCATGCAACAGAAACTTGTATTGCCTTTGACAATTAATAAATTGTCACAAAATTCCACATGGGTTCTGCTGATAAAAAATTCAGTGCCTTGGGTAAGGGCCCTTGTCATAATCTGATACTCTGCATAACCAAAATTAATAATCACCCTCTCCCCCTGTCACTTAATCTATGGCCTAATTTATAATCAGAGACATCTGTTGATTGGAATTTAGGGGTTGTATATTTTAACACATTGTTCATCCACACCATGTCTATGTCAGATTATTTGTATAATTTATTATCATATTTTTGCATATATTTGAAAAAATGTCTGATGCCACTCAGTTTGTTCACATTGTTAAAGCCCAGTAAGAAAGGGGACGTCAGGTCCTCTACCTGATCCTAGTAAGGAACTCCAGGTTCTAACCAGATCCATTTTGAGAAACAGTTGACTTTCTGCTGGCCTACAGAGCTTTGACAAATGAAAGAAGGTTCATTCCTTATTTTCCATTCATTAATGGGGCAAAAGACTTAGCTTATATCTTTGGAATTGATCCGGACACTTAAAAGATATCTTGATATAAAAAAAAGGGAACTATAAGTAATCATCCTGCAGCTTCTGTCCCACTCTCTCTGTGCATTTGCTCTAAACACATGATTCTGTTTTACAATGAACCTTTTCCAAAAAACAAACTACTGTAGGAATACAGGCCCATTTCCCTGAAGCATTAGGGTGTCCAGACTCTGAGTAAAGTTCACATCTTCATGCCTACTGGGAGGAAAAGCACTGTTTGAACAAAATGGACTGTTAAATGCTGGCCTGTCTTGAAGGGAGGGGTTGTTGAGGATTTGTTGACATTTCCCAGACGCTTGCTGCTGTGTTCTGTATTTGTCTCTAATAAGATTGACACTTAACAAAGCCAGACTGAAAGCCATGCTTTTTGCAAATAAAATTTATTTGCCACTGTTAATTCATGCTTGCCTGCACGGCTCATTCTTTTTTGCGTGAACACTTAAGTATTATTAAAAGTTGCACCAAGCAATGAAGCACACAGTTTATATATGTGGCACAAACCAGTTCTTTTAGACCAAGATTTTACAGACAGTTACTCCTTTCTCATTGAAGCTAAGACTAGCCATCCCCACTGTGTATATATATATATTTATATATTTATATTATTTCATTAACACAGGATAACTTAAACCGTTTCCCAGAAAATATTAAAGATGTTGTTTTTGAGCCCACCACATGGTAATTGTACAAGAATCTGTGCATCTCGTCTTCCACCCAATCATTTTTTCAATATCACTGAGATGCTGACCAGTAAATTGATATTGTCATTGTACACATTTCAGTGCCTAAACATGTGTACAGGCCATGGTACTGAATTTAAGTACCATTCCTAACCTAAATAATCCATACTAGAAGGGCTATAAAATCTCTTTTTATCTGCAAGCTTCATTACAGTGTTGCTCATCAACTCCTAAGGAACATTTGTGATGGTTTTAGATTTATAGTACATAATGCTTCCTGTCCTTATTTATTTAAGTGTTTTTTGCATTGTGGTTGTTGTTTAAATTGATGTTGATATACGATGTGAGCAATGGAAACCAAAGCCAATTTCCTTTTTTCGGTGCACACAAACTTGGCCAGTAAAGTTGATTCTGATTTCCCCTTTGTTTTACTTTATACTAGTTTTAATAAATGATTAAATCTGAGCAACACACTAATCTGTTGTAAACTGTTACCTTTTCAAAAGGATATTGAAAAGTGACAGTGATTGATAGTCATTGTTGTATTCTAGTGATAATCAATATACCAATCAAGAAGAACATTTGACATATAACGTTTACTTTTTTCCATCTGGGGGAGGCTGGCTGCTAACTAATAATACTACTAGCTCTGTACTCTGAAATCTTGCTGCTCCATGCAACAACCGTTTTGTTGTAGGCTGAGCAAAGCACAAGTGGAGCGTAGCTCCCACCTTGGCATGGAGGTGCAACCTGCTCAGTAGAACTTGTGCTGCACTTAGGTCAAAGTGAACATTTGCTGAAC